GACTGGCTTATGGTATAACTTCTTCTTTTTTAGAATTTGAAGCATTTTATTTTATTTATCTTTCTTCGTCTGAATTGACCCATAACTTTTTCTACATCAATCGAGTACAAAATACTTTACACGCGCACACAAACGTTAACATTTATATATTTCAGCAAGAATATGGAATTGCTACTGCTTTTAGAGGATACTTTCTCTGGACAGTCGCACCTGTGGACTCAGTCATGTCTAGGTCCTCCCCTCTTGCACCACCAGGCAATGCCCAATCAAACTTGTGCACTAAATTTGCCAAAGCAATCTCTTTAACAGCCACAGCAAACTGAATTCCGGGGCAACCCCGTCTGCCAGCCCCAAACGGAATTAATTCGTAGTCAGTCCCTTTATAGTCTATGTCACTATTCAAGAACCTTTCCGGCTCGTACTCCTCTGGGTTGTTGTATGACTTGGGATCTCTTCCAATCTGCCATGCATTCACTATAACTTGTGTGTTGGCCTTAATGTCGTAACCGCTTATTTTAACATCTTGGGTTGACATCCTAGGCAACAGTAGCGGAAGTGGAGGATGTAAGCGAAGAGTCTCCTTAATCACGGCCTTCAGGTAGTGCATTCCGACTAAATCATCCTCTATTATGTCTGTTTTGTTGCCGACTATTCCCCGTACCTCGTTCTGCAATTTTTTCATCACTCTGGGATGCCTTAAAAGCTCAGACATTGTCCACTCTAGGGCTGTGTATGTCGTATCAGTGCCAGCTGTAAACATATCCTGCAAGGTTGTTCATTAACTTAATTATTCTAAACATATATTGCATTGCATATTCGTTATCATTTGGTAGAACTAGTTCAAAAAAACTCAACCATAAAATCAATTTTTAGTGCCTGTGTCGCACACACAGCAGTAAGAGAGAATGTTCATTACCAAGGTAATAGCTTTGATGGAAACTAGATCGAGAGGAATACCAAGCAGGTTTTCTTTCTGAAGGGAAAGCAAAATGTCCACAAGATCCTTTTCGTGCTCGTTCTTGACATGATCGCCATCCATATGCTCTTGAACAACTGTCTGTAAGAAGTCATCATATCGTTTAGCGAGATCGTCTTGCTTGGCATCCAAACCATTGAGACGTGAGAACCAAGAAAGCCATGGGATATAGTCACCAATATTGATGCGTGACATGATCGCAGTGAACTCCACGGAAAGCCCCTTAAACATCTTCCCATTTTCGCCGCCATCGCTGTACTTGGTCCCGAGTACAACTCTACAGATAACATCATTAGTAAGTGTCAAAAAGATATCGCTTAAATTAAAAACTGACGATGTAGTTGACGTCGATTGCTTCATGATGTTGTTGATCATGGATTTGGCTTCCTCTTCTCTCACAGTGCTAAAAGAGCGAACCTTTTTGCTGCTCAGAAGATTTAACACACATATGCTCTTGACCTGCCTCCAATACTCGCCATATGGCGCCGATGCCACGTCTTTGAAGTCATAGAGAAGTTTCTTAAAGAAGGTGATCCTGGGTCTGTTGGAGAATGTGATGTCATGGGTCTTCATGACCTCGGAGGCAGCCTCAGCTGACGAGACCACGAGGACTGGCATGCTTCCGAAATGGAGCATCATGAGAGACCCGTGGCGTTGAGCTAAAGCTCGAAGTGAGCGATGAGGGTACAACCCTAGTTGGTGAAGGTTTCCGATGACAGGCAGCTTTCGCGGAGAAGGTGGCGATGAATTTGGGGTGGATGTGAAGGACCATTTGTGTATGAGGATGAGGAAAATGGTCACCAGTAAGAAATACTTGAAGGAAAATGGTTGCAATAAGCTTGATAGGGTTTCAGTTAATAGTTTCATCAGCTCCAGCATTTTCTTTTCTGTTAATCTCTTCTTCTTCTTCCCTAACCTACAGACAATATATATACACATATACATATGGACACACACACACACACACACACACACACACACACACACATATATATATATATATATATATATATATATATAAAAGATCGATCAGAATAAACAAACAAATTAATTACTAGAGACTTTAAACAAGAACGCCGTAAAATGCAGGAAACCTGGTCGAGTTTATTTATTTACGAGTAATGTTATTTATACCATGTTTTTGTACCATATTTTCATACCACGCACCTTAGATGTCATTTGATGTGGGCAACCACATCATTTGAATTAATCAGATTTTTAAATTTAGTTCATTATTTAACAAACTAATAATTAAGAAAAACTAGTTAATTAAATGATGATTGTGGTATACGAGGAGTCTTTCTCCTTCCTTTCCTTGGGTTTTTCAAAATTTTCAAATGATGTGGCTGTCCACATCATATGCCATCTAAGGTGGTATAGAAATGTGGTACAAAAATATGGTATGAATAACATTACTCTTTATTTATTGCATTTTTCTTTCAGAAATGTTATTTTTACCACATATTCGTATCATGCATCTTTTGAATAGAGATATGATCCACATGTGATATAGGGCCCTAACCTTATTAGAGAGATGTTACAAATTGATAGTACAAAAATGTGGTAAATGTAACATTACTCTTTTTCTTTTGTTTTCTGAAAATGACAATCCACGACCAGTAATATTTTCTTTCTAATACTAATTAGACAGGATTTGATGATTTTGAATCTTCCCTTTCCATTAATTAATAAACTTGGTGTACACACACACACACACAATATATATATATCACCATCTTCGATCTATGTATGTAGCCTTGTTTTGGTACGGAGGATTGGATTGGAATGAATCTCTTTAAATTTAAGCTATTTGAAGGAATAGAGAATGGCAAAGTGGTAAGTTGCCTTAGTGGACAAAGTCTTCCACTTCAACCACTGTGAACCAAACCGAATCGAATAGTAACTTCAGTTTGATTTTCGGTATAGACAAAAAACTGAACCGAACCCAACCCTACTTTAGATCAACTTAAGTAGTGTAGATTATCTATCGTTCTTTGATAGATCTCTATAAAAGTAGATGAGAATGAATTTTCATTTTAAGACCAAATTTTTTAGTTTTTCTATATAACTTCTTCAAAGTAATTCTCACGAGTTTTTTCAAGTTAGCAGTCAATCTATGTGAATCTCACGTCAAAGAATGAATGGACCTCTTATTTGCTTCATTATAAGAGTTGGATTACTCTCCAAATTGTGACTTCGTTTATGGTGGAACCTCACTTTATTTTTGGTATCAATGCACCCTAATCAACGTGTTGAGCCTAATAGTCCATGTGCTCTCACGTCACCCGATATGCATTGTCCATTACTTCATGTGTTAGATTTAGATAACTACATACAACCAAGCCTTATTTCGCTAAGCAACAACAACAACAACCAAGCCTTATTTCACTATGTAGGGTCGGCTGTATGAATCCTAGAATGCCAATGCGCTCGATTTTTTGCCAATTCTTCTGTTAGCTCCAAGTACTCCATATCATTTCTTATAGTATATTTTAAAGTCTTCCTAGATCTTCCTCTACTCCTTTTGCCCTGAGTCTCCGTCTCATAGTTGCATCTTTTAACTGGAGCATCTATAAGTCTTTGGTTCATGTGTCCAAACCATCTTAACCAATTTTCTCTCATCTTATCTTCAATTGTGGTCACTCCTACTTTAACTCGGATATCCTTATTCTTAATCCTATCGATCCTGTCTCGTGTGACTATACATCCAACGAAACATTCTCATTTCCACTACACTCATTTTTTTTTTTTTGCATGTGTTGCTTTTTGGACACTGAACACCAAATGCACTCTTCCATTTCATCCATCCAACTTCTATTCTATGGTTGGTATCTCTATCTAATTCTCCATTATTTTGCAAGATAGATCCAAGATAACGAAAATGTTCACTCAATTTTATGGTACAACCGTATATATCATTGTAAAAAGTTAGGTTGTCAATATTTTATGGTAGAACCTCAACTTTCTTTGATCATTGTGTTTTAGTTTGCCAATAATCTAGAGATGACTAGGGTAATAATATTACAATTATATTTAATGAAAATATGGCTTTAGATCTTAAAACTCAATTTTCTTTGCTTAATCCGACATAATTTACTTTTCTAACTAAAACCTAGTGATTAAGCTCCACTAAGCAAATTTCTTAATTAAGTGTGATTTTACACAATTTTTATATTTGTTATCTACAATTAATTGTATGGATTATGTGAATCAATGTCATGAAATATTTTTCAAACTGCAAATTGAAGCATGAAATATATTTTGAACTCCATCAATGGCTAATCTAACAAATTCTATTATTTGACCAAAAAAAAGTTTTGGGGGGGGGGGGGAATTAATGATTCTGGAAAAAAAAAATATTTAAAAAAAAATGTATGAGGGGTATTGATGCTATTGGCCAGCTCATGAAATATAAGCTAGTATTAGGAAGATTAATTTACCTACCCCATGCATATTACTCTTGGTCTTCCACATCTATCTATCTATTTTGGAGGAAAAAAAATTATGTATTATTTTATTTGATAAATCAAATAGGTAAATTAATAAAAAAAATTATTAAATATTTCATTGATATTTTTCCATGGAGGATTTTTGTTAAATATTTATATGTAAACAAGTTTTTGGTTAGAAAATACGAGTTGTAAGGACCTCTTACCTCACCTATTTGTAATGAACCTTTATTTCTAGCTACATACGGATCATATTATATGTATGCAGCTATATGGTATGAACAATTCAAACATGATATGAACAATTCAAACATCAACAAAAATAAAATGCCAAAACGCTGAAATGAAGAGATGGTGGATGCTGTTTGTCCTCTTCGATGATATGTATGCAGCTATATGGCTTTTATTTGTTTAAGTTATAAATATGGTGGATGACCCAAATGAAAGAAATTGAAGTCTTTACTGTTCACTTGAAGACTTTGTAGATAAGGTTAGCTTGCTTTTTGTAATAGGCGGATGAAAAATCTTTATATAAGGGTGAATATAGTTCATTGTACACGCAACAAAACATCACACGCAAAATAAAGAAAAGAGATGCAGAAGAAAATAACAGTGAGCTATACTAAGGCAAGAGATAAGAGGAAAACTATGGCTGCTTTGAGAACGTAAGCATATTTGCCAAATTTTGTAAATATTATGCTTTATTTATTTTATATTTCATTGTATACATATCATCTATTTTACAATATTTAACAACTTTTCTATTATAATTCCATCATTTGACGCTTTTTAATCATACATCCATCATTATAATTCCATCATTCCAACATTATTTTTTTTACTAAGATTCAATCTACATTCTGCAGCATGCTCATGCATTTTTTTTATGTATCTACCATTAGAGGCGGATCAAATTTGGGCTGTGGTGGAAGAGAAGAACAGCCGTAGATGCCGATTGCAGCTCACGTTCTGCAAAACAGAAGGAGAAAGAAAAAAGACAATTTTTTTTTTTTTTTTTTAAAGATTTGACCAAAACTGTTGTTTTGAGTCAAATCATTAAAAAAAAAAAAAAAAAAAAACTAAAAAGCACTGCAACATAAGAGATCTTTCGGATCCACATGAAAGAGCATTTAGTAGTAGCAAACATTTTTTTTGAACAAACGATATTGTTTACATTAAGATAGAAATGGTGGCTTTAATTAATTTTACAATGAATTAGTAATAATATGATTCAAATTCGCTTTTAGTATTAGCAACATTTTTAATTCAAAAGTTCAAAGCATTTTCAAATGACTTTTGAGTAAACCCAAAGCCATTAAACCCTAAAAAGAAATCCATGTTTGAGACCCTTCGGAACCACGTGAAAGAGAATTTAATGGTCACCAGAGCACCTTAACCCCGTGTACCAGTTATACTGAAAAATCTGTCCTCAATCCCACTATCTCCCATTCCCCACCCCACTTGACCACCAAAGGCCACCGCTAGCAGTACAACACCAGACTCTCTCTCTCCATAACGTTGACAATGAAACTATCATGACATGTTTTGAACAGTCTTTGTATCTTGTATTGTTGTTTGTACAAAGATTATGGATGAAAAAAATGTAGTTTGTTGTTTATTTTTTCAATTTATCTTCGTCTAATTTTTATTGGAACTTTTATATTGGGACAACTCGATGTTAAAATCTTGAATCTGGCACTGTCTACTGTGAATGAATGACATGGACTAAAACAAAAAAACATATTAACAGGTTGGTTCGATAAAACATTTGACCCGTTAAATTTCGACCTGATTTCTGATTTTTTTCGTGTCGTTCATAAAATTGCAAATCTAGTTCACACCCTATTTTCCCTTGTAATTGGATACGTCTAAAATCTAGTACTTCTGTGCTTGTAACTGGATAGTTTCAAAGTTCAACTCTATTAATGGTGACATGGGTATAGGTATGGTAATTCAACAAATAAATCCAATAACTTTGGATAACCGTCCGAACGGGGGCAAATTTGGGGATGAAAATTGAGGTATTTTTCGGATATGGGGAAAAACCGTGAATATTATTCGATTACGGTTTTGTTTATGATTATAGGAATCCCCAATCCATTTCTGTCACGCTTCCGCCCCAAATGATATAGTATAATATAAATACACTACACTACAATACAATACAATATAATATATTCACGTATGGAAATTATCTGATAGTTTTGTTTTCGGTGCATTTTTGCTCACCCACCTCTAAGCATGCCAAGTGTCCTCTTACTTGACCCTAGTTAACCTTTTCATTTATTATTAATTATATTATATAATAATGCATTAACCATCATTTTAGCATTATCTTTTAATTTTTTTAATTTTAGCATGATTATACAAGTAATTGACACGCTAGCCAGATGAACTCCAAAGCGTCTTAACTTGTGTTTACAAGACTATCAAGAAATTAACGTGTGTGTCGAGCGCACCAAAAACCATAACTTTACTTTTTATTCATCACAAATTTAGTGCCTCTCCATATTCATAACATGTATCATACATCCATCCCTAGTTCAGGGAAAAAAACATACTCTTCTGAAGCATTGAGATTGAGTTAAAATCTGAAAAACAAAATGCCACCATTTTAGGGCAAAACTAATCACCACATCACTTCAGCTTCGCGAAAAGCTTCGGAGCAACCTGCATCGCGCAATTATAGTTTTTGGCTTTTAGGTCAACAAACAAGACAGTATAACTAAATGAGTTTCAAGACCATTGAACACTACTAACACATTTGTCGATACAAGACCAGAAATCAAAATATTGTCCAGTACAATGCTTGTGTCCGCTTTCATAATCTTGGATCCTCTTAACGCATGCCTGAAGTATGAAATTGCCATTTTTACACACCCTTTGCAAACTAATTCAAATTCTAGGGCTACAAACTTCCGTGTAGGTCAACCAAGTTGGGAAACACTTGTGTTTTCTTGTTCATCTCTGGCAAAAGGTAGAAAACCACAAAATAATTACAGTGGAGAGTTTAACAGTTAATAGTCTAAATCTTAACTATCTCTATTTATTCATTCCATATAGTTAGGGTGAAATATTTCTGACTTCCTTTTGTTTCCTCATGACTAGTTGTTGACTTGTATACTATTTTCCTTTAATTCTGGTATTCCTATAATATTGGGTTTCCTAGTTTAGGTTGTAGATTGATTGTAATTATTCTTTCTCTGGCAACATGTAGAAAACCACAAAATAATTACATTGGAGAGTTTAACAGTTAATATTCTAAATCTTAACTATCTCTATTTATTAATTCCATACAATTAGGGTGAAATATTTCTGACTTCCTTTTGTTTCCTCATGACTAGTTGTTGACTTGTATAATATTTTCCTTTAATTTTGGTATTCCTATAATGTTGGGTTTCCTAGTTTAGGTTGTAGATTGATTGTAATTATTCTTTCCTTATTATAGTAGGATTGTACATGATTATATATACCTCAAAATGAGAAGAATACAATTAACACATTCAAAGCATTCTCTTCTTGGCATCAGAGCCAGGTCGTAAAAAAAGGAAAGAAAGTTTCGAACCCTAACATGGTTTGTTATTGTGCCATGCACAGCACCACCGTGGTGCCTCTAACAAACAGCGAGCAATGTGAAGTTGTTGTTGTGTCCCGATCTTACTGCCCTGAATTCTGATAAGCAACATGTGATGTTGCTACCCCAAGTACCTTTGTTGTTGCACAGGTTTTCTACTCTCCGTGAAAGATGTATGTCGAGAACAACCAAATCATTTCTGCTACCGCTCTGGTCCTGATTCAGCCGAATAATTCAAACTTCAACATTGGGATGGTTTTGGATGAGAATAACTATGATTTATGGGATCCTCTTATTCAAATTCATATTGCTAGAAGGAAGAAGATGAGATATCTTCATGCGCCCATTAAGGCTCATGCAGAGGATGATCCTAAATATGATGATTGGTTCTCTGAAGATTAGAGAATTAAGAGTTGGCTCTTGTCGGCAATGAAGCCGAAGATCATGAAATGTTATATTTGTTTGTCAACTTTGAAAGAGATCTGGGATGCTCGTAAGGCTGCTTATTTTGATAAGAGTGATGAGGCTAGAATTTATTCATTAAATCAGAAAGCCTTACGTCTCAGGCAAAATGGGCGGCCTTTGGCTAGTTACTTTGAAGAATTGATAGAGATTTTTTCAAGAATTAGACCACTTTAATAAAGTGGCCATGGCATGTGAAAAAAGATGTCCTGATTTTCCAGAAGACAACCGAGCGACAAAGGTCATATTTGTTTCTTGGTGGGCTTGATGATGGGTATGATCAAGTTCATGGAGAAATATTGCGCAAATACCCACCACTTGTACTTTAGGCTGCTTATGCGTATGTCCATTGTGAAGTAGATCGCAAGGAAGCTATAAAGATGGAGGGCTAAAGCTAAGAACCGACTGCAATGGCAGCCAAATCCCATGGTCCCTCCAACCACACCGATCGAGGTGGGTCTAAGAATAAAAGTGGGCAGCCCTGAACCGGGCAACCCGGTTGTGATTGCCCTCAGGGTAAATGTCCCTATTGTGGTATGATGGGACATTCCAAAAGTCGATGCTTTGAGCTAATTGGGCATCCCAATAATTGGGATAAGACACGTGATCCTCGCTTCAACAAACCTCAAGCTTATGTTGCAAAAACTAAGGATGATTCAGCGGATGTAGCAAGCAAAGCATCAGCTTTGATTACCGCGACAGGTATTGGTGGTAAGGCATTTAATGTCTGCACTTCTGTTATGAATAATACATGGATAATTGATTATGGAGCGACTGAACATATGACTTGTGATTCTAGACTGGTTTACTCACTAAAAAACTCTACCTACACCGAGGTTAATGTGGCTAATGGTAATGCCACCCTAGTCTTTGGGTAAGGCCCGATTTCCCTTTCTGATACCATGAAACTTGATACTATTCTTATGGTTCCCTCCTTGAATTATAATTTATTATCGGTTACCCAAATAACCCTTGGCTTACATTGTTTGGTGGTGTTTTGACCTTATTTTTGTGTATTTAAGGACATACGGACGCATAAGACGATTGGTTATGGTATTAGACGAGGAAAGTTATACTACCTCGAGTTGAATTCCAGTAGCTCGGGACTTTTCACTCAAGTACTATCAGCGAATGAGACTCCACCAGAGAATAATAAAGGGTCCGATGTGTGGATGTGGCATTGTCATCTTGGCCATACTTCGTTTGGTTATTTGTATAAGTTATTTCCTAGTTCGTTTGGGAAAAACGATGTTTCTCAGTTTAAGTGTGATTTGTGTGAAATGGCTAAAAGCCATTGAACTTCTTTTCCCCTAAGTTTAAATAAGAGCTCTGTTCTTTTTTTATGATTGTGCAGGGGCCCTTCCAAAACTGCCTTTCTTGGTGGAGCTCGTTGGTTTGTCACATTTATTGATGATTGTACAAGAATGACTTGGGTTACTTTGCTAAAATCGAAAAGTGATGTGAGTATGGCCTTTCAAAAATTTCACAAAATGGTTTCGATACAAAACAATATGAAAATTCAGATGGTTCGAAGTCATAATGGAGGCGAGTATGTTAATATTGAACTCTGTTTTTTCTTTGATACGCACAATATTGTTCATCAGACACATGTTCGTATACTCTTCAACAGAATGGGGTGGTTGAACGGAAGAATCGACACTTGTTAGAAATGGTTCGTGCTTCTCTTATTGAGGAATGTCTTCCCTTGTATTATTAGGGTGAGGCCCTCACGTCGGCTTCCTACCTTATTAATTGGCTTCCTTCTTGTACCCTCGAGTTTCAGACACCATTTCAAACTCTTATGTCTCTACTTAGCTGCCCACCAATCCCTAACCTTTCCCCTCGAGTTCTCGACTGCGTGGCTTCTGTCTACGTGCTTCATTCACAACAGCAAAACAAACTTAAACCTCGAGCTCTTTAATGTGTGTTTATGGGGTATGCTAGTACTCAGAAAGGTTATTGGTGCTATCACCCTCCCACTAAGAAAATGTTTATCACTGCTGATGTCATTTTTCATGAAACAGAGATGTATTTTGGTTCCTCTGAGTCCTCACTTTATGGGGAGTTTCAAGGTGATGCAATTTGTATGTTTGATTATGGAACCGAGCAACAAGCTATGGTGCAGCCACCCACCACCGAAAGACAGACCACTCCACAGCCACCTGCTGTCAAGCAGCAAGCTACGGTGCAGCAACCGACCGCCGAGCAGCAGGCTACTGCAAATCAGCCTACCACCGAACATATGTCGATTGCACATCAGCTTTCTGTCAAGTCTGAGATAGCAGGAGACATGTCTCATTCGGCCCCATTGCAGGTGGAACCCACGGTTGTAAAAAAAACAGTACATGCTGACTCGTCCCTTAATGATTCTTATAACTAATCGTCTTCTGCGCCAAATGAACCACCGCTTTGTAGTCTCCTGGAAAGAATTAATTGAGGTATTCCTAAACCCATTTATGAGGTAGGCCCTAAGTGTAAAACTAAGTATTCAATGAGCGAACCGAGAGTGAGGTACCCATTAAACAACTATGTGTCCACTTGTCACCTGTTTGAAACAAATAAGTCGTTTGTGAATCAATTGCCTACTGTATATATTCCTAACAGTGTGCAAGAAGCCTTAGCCGATCCTAGATGGAAAGAAGCAATGAATGAGGAACTAAGGTCGTTGAAGAAGAATGCTACCTGGGAACTGTCGAACTTGCCAGCAGGCAAGAAACTTGTGGGATGTAAATGGGTTTATACAGTGAAATACAAAGTAGATGGAACGGTTGATCAGTTTAAAGCAAGACTAGTAGCAAAGGTGTACATTCAGAAGTATGGCATAGATTACAGAGACACCTTTGTGCCAGTAGCCAAGATCAATATTGTCCGAGTTCTCTTGTCCATGGTAGTGAACCTAGATTGGCCACTTTAACAATTTGATGTCAAAAATGCATTCCTACATGGAGATTTAACTGAAGAAATTTATATGGAGATTGCACTGAGATGTACTAGAATAAACATGAATAAATGTAAGGTATGTAAGCTAAAGAAGTCACTATATGGATTAAAGCAGTCACCAAAGGCATGGTTCGGCAAGTTTACTAAATCAATGAAGGCCTTCGGGTATTAGCCAAAGCAATTGGGATCACACCCTGTTCTTGAAACAAAAGAATAAAAAAATTACAGCACTCATTGTATATATGGATGACATGGTGGTTACCTAGAATGACTCAGTGGAACAATCGGCTCTAAAGAAGTATTTGTCTACGGAGTTCAAAATGAAAGATCTTGGATCACTGAAATACTTTCTTGGGATTGAAGTATCAAGAGGCAAGCCTGGGATATTCTTGTCCCAAAGAAAGTATATCATTGATTTGTTAAAGGAGACTGAGATGTTAGCTTGTAAACCTGTAGCAACTCAATTGGCTGAAGGAACGAAGTTGAGCCTCGACAAGAATCAAGTACCGGTAGACAAAGGAAGATATCAAAGGTTAGTTGGGAGATTGATGTATTTGGCACATACAAAACCTGATCTTGCTCATGCGTTGGGCATAGTCAGTCAGTATATGCATGATCCTAGAGAACAACATATGAGTACGGTAATGAGGATATTGTATTACTTGAAGGGAAGTCCAGGTAAAGGAATTCTATTTAGGAAAAATGAGCATTTCAAAATTGAAGGGTATACTGATGCCGATTGGGTGGGTTCAGTAGCTGATCGATGCTCAACATCAGGATATTTCACTTTTGTTGGTGGTAAAAAGCAAAATGTAGTAGCTTGTTCAAATGCAGAAGCAGAATATAGAGTTATGGCTCTTGCTATTTGTGAACTCTTGTGGCTTAAGTTTCTATTACGAGATTTGGGGGTCAATCATAGTTCGCCGATGAAGTTATTTTGTGACAACAAAGCTGCTAGGGATATCGCTCTTAATCCAGTACAACATGATAGGACGAAGCAGGTGGAGGTTGATAGATTCTTCATTAAAGAGAAATTGGAGGGAAAAATAATTGAATTGCCCCTAATTAGGACCGAGGATCAAGTGCCTGATATACTCACAAAGGCTGGTTCGAGTGACAAGTTCTCAAGCTTCTTGAACAAGTTGGGCATGTGTGACATGTATGCACCAACTTGAGGAGGAATGTTGACTTGTATAATATTTTCCTTTAATTCTGGGATTCCTATAATTTTGGGTTTCCTAGTTTAGGTTGTAGATTGATTGTAATTATTCTTTCCTTATTGTAGTAGGATTGTACATGATTATATACACCTCAAAATGAGAAGAATACAATTAATACATTCAAAGCATTCTCTTCCCTAGTGATGACCCACCACTGACCAATTGTTTATAAATTATATTACATGTTTGACTATCATCTCCTGTCATTGTGAGTTTATGCTGAACTCTTGAATCTTGAATGAAAAGTTGCTTTCTATTTTTCAGAATTTTGCCAAACCGTTTTTGGTGTTTGGTATGTGCCTTACTAGCAAGCAAGACATTAGATGTCAAGCTGGTCTTCAAGGACGAACCTTAACCTGGTCAGAGTAATGAAACAAGGGAGAAAGACAGTTCATTGCCAAAAAAACCTTAGGGTGTTGCAAATTCCTGATACTCGAGGAACGGTTTCACACATTTTGGATTGCACGACTTTTCGGGGTACTTCTTTTGATAAATAGGTTCCTCGTCCGCCCTAAATATGTTTTACCAAAACTAATACAAAAAATAGAAAAGTCATATAAACTATACGTGCACACAAAAAAGAAAAGGGACATGCTCAATATAAATCGACAATAGATCGGCGTTGCACACAAAACAAGTAGAGCATTGGAGAGTCCATAAAAGTATTATCACTAAAGAAAGAATTGAGCTACCAATACCACCTATTAAGGGAAGGATCCAGTAGTATAAACATTCATAACTGACCAGTAGTATGAAAATTCCTCGTCCGCCCTAAAAATGTCTCCCATTTCTTATTTTCTACCCCACATTTTTTATCCTCCACTAGAAATCAGAAAAACCAAAACGAAGAAAAAAAAACCAAGAAGGCTCTCCCACAACGATAATAAAATATCGTGGCTTGGCAGAAATAGCTGAAAAGGAAATCCCTATTACGTACAAACATAGCAGACTTCTCAATTCACGGATCCAATTTATGTCTCCCTTCTGTCTGTGTAAACATATTCAGCCAAAGGCTTCTTTGAATAACTTATTACACGGAGAGGAAGCTTCGATTGGGGATCCCTCAAATAAGCTTATTAGAGGGAACACATCTTAGCATTGTATATCAGTGATTTAAACAATCTAAGTTTTCATGTCTTTTCCCGAAGATCATCCTTGCAACAAATCACTCAAATCAGTGGCAGAGCCACATGGTAGCCAGCATAGGGCAGGCCCATCCTGAAATTTTCCAATATATATATATACAAGTTGTCTACTTCCTTTTATAAACAGCTTGTGGTGTATTGATGATTACTATTTGCTAATACTGGAGGAGTGATTGGTTCGAAGCTTGTTGGAGCAAAAAACCTAACCAGACTTCTGTTATAAAATTCAATTGCTCTTTCTAGTCAGTTCACAACTCCACACAAAACAAGGTCTATACAATTTAGAAGAAGAAATTATGCTTAAAGAAAAATCTCATAGGAATAGTTTTGATTCTTAACTTTAAATTTTTGTTGGGGTTTTTTTTCTTTTTATTTATTTATTATTTTATCAAAACTCATAAAGAAGTTATGTTCTTATGATATAATCTTCTCAATACCAATTTTTTCATATGAATTTAGAAGCTCCATCACATTATATATTTATTTGATTAAAAACTTTCATCCCAATTTCCAACTAATTATATTGCCATAATTTGTCTAATTTCTTTCTTATGGTTTAAAGGCCCCTCCTGTGACCAATTTCTGGTCCCGCCACTGACTCAAATCTTACACCATTATTGTATGGCTTTCATTTTAATGTTTCCTTGAAATACCGTGTTCATCTAGTTATTCTACTGAGACTTGATATCTTACAATTTCAAATTTGTCTCACATGAAGATGAACTTTGACAGAAAATCTAGTTTGTCAGATGATGCTTGGTTTAGATATCAATAACAAAGTTTTAATGTAATATATGATGATATTGTGCCATAGCTGACTGACTTTTAACCAACTAAAAGATCACGTTCAGCGTTTTATTATTATTTATTATTTGTTATTTTTATTCGTGGGGTTCACTCCAGATTTTGTTTCAATAATCCGAAATTATGAAATGGCTTCGAAGTTGTAACTAGAGGAATGATATCATGAGATACAGCATATATGATTTCTTTACTTCGATGAGTCACGAGTTAAACTAAGCTCTCCAAACCTAAATTTAATAATATAACAGAAAATATTAATAAATCGTCGTAAGTTTGCTGTTTATGATTTATGGTGTCATGCAAGCGTAAATCTTGATGAAATTAAGGTTCCATCATAAAATTAAATGGCAATATGAGGAGTAATCCAAGACCATATAAGCACATAGTAAACCTTGTCTCTCACCGATGTGGGACAACTCTCAACACGCACCTCCACGTGTGGCGGATTTTCAAGCCTACACGTGGACAACAACATGGATGACATGGCGCGTGTGTGGCCGTTGAGCTTCACATGTGGACAACCTTGCTCAGATACACCATGACGAAATTAAGGTTCCACCATACCAATTGGCAATATGACAAGTAGCCCAAGACCATATAAGCACATAGCAAACCTTGTCCCTCACCGATATTTGTTTGATTAAAAACCTTCATCCCAATTTCCAACTAATTATATTGCTATATTTTGTCTAATTTCTTTCTTATGGCTTAAAGGCCTCTCCTGTGACCAATTTCTGGTTTTGCCACTAACTCAAATCTAACACCATTATTGTATGGCTTTCATTTTAATGTTTCCTTGAAATAGCATGTTCGTCTAGTTATTCTACTGAGACTTGATATCTTACAATTTCAGATTTGTCTCACATGAAGATGAACTTTGAAAGAAGACAGTTCATAATTTCGGATTATTGAAATAAAATCTGGAATGAACCCCACGAATAAAAATAAAAAATAATAAATAATAATAAAACGCTGAACGTGATCTTTTAGTTGGTTAAAAGTCAGTCAGCTATGGCACAATATCATCATATATTACATTAAAACTTTGTTATTGATATCTAAACCAAGCATCATCTGACAAGCAACTGGAAGAATGATATCATGATATATAGCATATATGATTTCTTTACTTCCATGAGTCACGAGTTAAACTAAGCTCTCCAAACCTAAATTTAATAATATAACAGAAAATATTAATAAATCGTCCTAAGTTTGCTGTTTATGATTTATGGTGTCATGCAAGCGTAAATCTTGATGAAATTGAGGTTCCACCATAAAACTAATTGACAATATGAGGAGTAGGTCCAAGACCAAATAAGCACATAGTAAACCTTGTCCCTCACCGATGTGGGACAACTCTCAACATGCCCCCGCACGTGTGGTGGATTTTCAAGCCTACATGTGGACAACAATTGGGTGACGTGGCGCGCGTGTGGCCGTTGGGCTTCACACGTGGACAACCTTGCTCTGATACCATGATGAAATTGAGGTTCCACCATAAAACCAATTGGCAATATGAGGAGTAGCCCAAGACAATATAAGCACATAGCAAACCTTGTCCCTCACCGATATTTGTTTGATTAAAAACTTTCATCCCAATTTCCAACTAATTATATTGCTATATTTTGTCTAATTTCTTTCTTATGGCTTAAAGGCCCCTCCTGTGACTAATTTATGGTTCCGCCACTGACTCAAATCTTACACCATTATTGTATGGCTTTCATTTTAATGTTTCCTTGAAATACCGTGTTCGTCTAGTTATTCTACTGAGACTTGATATCTTACAATTTCGGATTTGTCTCACATGAAGATGAACTTTGAAAGAAGACAGTCTATAATTTCGGATTATTGAAACAAAATATGGTGTGAACCCCACAAATAAAAATAACAAATAATAATCAAACGCTGAACATGATCTTTTAGTTGGTTAAAAGTCAGTCAGCTATGTCACAATATCATCATATTTTACATTAAAACTTTGTTATTGATATCTAAACCAAGCATCATCTGACAAGCAACTAGAAGAATGATATCATGAGATACAGAATATATGATTTCTTTACTTCCATGAGCCACGAGTTAAACTAAGCTCTCCAAACCTAAATTTAATAATATAACAGAAAATATTAATAAATCGTCCTAAGTTTGCTGTTTATGATTTATGGTGTCATGCAAGCGTAAATCTGACTTTAACTTGATTATTTCCATCTGGCTTATTGCGTGGGATGTTAACTATGCTGGATGCCATTGAGATAGATGATGACCTTCTAGCAAACAGTGCGAGATCACTGGAGACGGTGGTTTCGATCGGTTGGGATGAAGTTAGGTGTGTCCAAGAAACAAACCAAGATTGGGTTGCCAAACTTAGAAAAATGTGTACGTTGAAAGATTGAGAAAGCTAATTCTTGTATGCTATGTTTCCATATTCATGCTGCTGGACTAGGATTTCAGCGTACTTGACGGGTAGGAACTGGTTGATCTGAAATCGATTCATCTTAACACTGTGTATCTTATCAATTCGAGTTGCTTATTTTTGTGACTACAAATTGATAGTCAACGAAAATGAAAGCATATGAATGCAATGTTGTAAACAATTGCGAGGGTGACTGAACCAAATCGTAGTTAATCACTCAGCATCACTGAGGCATCCTCATCTGATTGTCGATTATGCTTAAGGAGCAAGTCCACCTCATGCCAATTACTTGGGTAATTAGGCGATCCAACCCTCCAAAATCCAAAACAGTCTCTCCACCCCAGCCCAATCAGCTTTGCTAAGGGAAGCCCAGCATAGCTAGACTGCTCAATCGGGCGGGAATGGCCCAAGTTTGCGACTGAGTAGATCTGTCAGACACCGAGCACCGAGTCGCAGCAGCCACACCGAATGATGCTGAAGCTCTGGAAATTGTACCAGAACTGCCTCTCTTTCCACCCACTCAAAACCCAAGTCATCAGCTCCGGCGATCTCTGGGGCGTCGGCGACCTGTGACTGCCCGTGAAGCTCCAACAATGGCGGCAGATCTGGTTCTTGACAGAGCCATCAGAGACTGGATTCCAGCACGAGATTGCTAACGAGCCCTCCAATCACTTGTCTGCGACTCTTCGTCTGCAACGCCCCCACGCCAGGAAATTCCGACACCCGTTACTAACGGGCCGTTAGACCAAACCCAAAATTGCATTCGCTCCTTCCTCCTACTCATTGAATTCCGAGTCGAGGGCGGGATTAAGAACAACTCGAGAGAGAGAGGAGAGACGGTGGTGAAGATGAGTTGCAGGTTCGACGGGAAGGATAAAATTAATAATAAAATAAATATCTTTATAAAAAATAAGTTTTTAATGCCAATACTTTTTCTTTTTTTTTTTGAAGAACTTTAATGCCAATACTTTGAGCAATTTATTTACGGATGACAATTGTAAGGATGACAAGGATCGAGCTACATTCAATGATCAAGATGCTGATATTTGTCACTAGATTATGTGGTAAGTGCTAGAAATTTTTTAGCGTGATCGATACATGGAGTGGTACATTATATATTACTATAAAAATAGTGAAATATATGTGTTAAAATGTTAATAATTTATAAAATATAATTTCCCACCACTTATATAAAAACACGTGATGTAATGATGTACCACTTGTATTTCGATCATAATTTTGTGTTTGTTGAGAGAAGAGTAAGCACTGTAACTAGTATAAAAGGCAAGATTACAGTTTTATTCATAATACAGTAAAAATATACAATAAGCACTTCTCATTTATCTTTCTCTCTAACTTCTCTCTCTATATTCTGCAATCTCATTACCTCCATTGATAACCTTCAAGCTCAGATCTCTGCATTCTC